GACTAAATAGGAAATAAGAGGAAGCGGCCATACAAATTAAGTCATAATTAATTTAATTAAACAATTAAATCCAGCATAAAGAAGGACATTATTATTCCAGATCCTGCTGTCACTTCAACGCTGAATCAAAAAGTTAATTGGGAAATCTCTATTTATGGCAAAGCAAACAAYACAATCCTCTGCTCAAAACCCTACTTAAAAAAAATGTACTTAGTCACTAAGAATTGCAGATAGCATGGCCATACAAACAGCTGTTTCCTAGAAAATACAAATAAGGGTTGGAAATGCATAAAATTTGTTTGCATTTGGGCAAATATAACAAACCAAAGACATCTCAGTATGCTTTCACTACTCACCAATCTCCAGACTYAGCAGATAGAGCCCACCAAGCTTGTAAGTTCAAGAAAAGGTTGTGCTGATTTTACAATTTGATAAAATACCAAAAGGGAATCCAAGAGTCGCAAGCTTCAAAGACAATAAAAGAGGATGAAACGTGTTGTTCAGCACCTTCCTCTAGCACTAATGAAAACAGAAGGGTGCATGAAGAAGTTTCAACTGACTGAGTCTTATGCCAAAAATACTATCTTAAGCTTATGACAAAATACCAATTAAAGTTACGTGGGAAATGTATATATGAAGTACAGAAATGACAGGAGGATACATCTATATCATTTAGGAGAATGCAGAGGTCTACCAATATATATGTTCCCTTGCTTCTTTTTGGGGAGCAGAGAAAGCAAATGAGACACTTTCCTCCTTGACAGCTGTGACTGGCACAAGTGAGATAAGCAGAGGCTGCAGGGCTGACTGTAATTAGAAAACCATCATCCATAACAGAAAACACTACACTTCTGACAAAAGGCTAGTTGCCCCTTCCTAAGTAAAGATGGTACTTAATACCTCACATTTTGAATGACAGAAAAAAATATCAGCCTCAAGTTACTGGCTTGTAACTTGGCTGAAACCAACACCCCCAGAGGAATTAATCCAAGTTAAATTGGGTATTTGTTTACATACTCCTGTATGAAATGGTGCCTGATTTCCATGTATCCTCTACTGCAGGAATGGCCTTATCAGGACATGAATTTCAAAAGCAAATGAGCACTGTAAACTTTCAGTCAAAAATTTATTTGTAAATAGTTATGTGGATGCTTTGATGAATTATACATTCATTCTGCTTCTATAGCACCATGGAACTAGGCTGTTCATGACAGCTACATTGTTTCATCAAAGCAAATTCTCTTTTCAAAACAAGTATCTTTTGTACTACAGAACTGTAAATCAAAAGGAGTCGTGCAATTCAGAAATTAAGTAGGAAAGAAAATGTATCCTACTCCCTCTCTATTTAATTGTATTTCAGAAGCACATGTATCATTCTAACCAGACCTGGACTCTTGTCAGTGACTATAAACAGATAATTGCCCAGAACATCACTCAGAAATAAATACTTCAGTAGTTTTCATGAGCAGAAAATGTTATTTGAACAAAATGTCTGTAGACAGTAATTGCCTAATGCCTTTTATTTATTTTTAAATGCTTAAAGCTTGGAGAAGTCTTCAGAAAAGTCTCTATCCCTGGCACAGCTGTATTTCTCTCAGTAAACATGCTCCCACTTACATTTATCCATGTCCAGAGAAAAGCATATGTAACATTTCCATACTTCCACAATGGCAAAAGAAAGAGAAGCTCTGCCAACTCCTGCCCATACGCCTCTCTGGGCAGCGCATGTGTCTCACACCTTTCTAGTCCCAGGTTTGTGGGGCCACCCACGGGATTCGCCTCTCCCTTTTGGGCCAGTGCAAGAGGCCGAGACTCACCCTAGTCCCAGAGTCACCACAGATAGAGCCCAGTTTATTGCTGCTATAAAGAACAGATGTGGACGATGTGGTGGCTGGGACCAGTGGGCAATTTGGAGCCTCCTCAACTGTCGAAAACTCTTAGCTTGTATCTAATTAGACAGTGGGCTATAGAATACATAAACATATAAATCAGTTCATGTCTGTATTTAAAGTACATTTTTATTTGCACTTCAAACCTACTGTTGTCTTTCCAGGAAAGCATAAAACCCTGCCGAGTATCTTTTAATATGGACACAGGCCAAATGCCAGAGATGATATACAACATAAAGAGATACATAGAGAATCTAGCTGTACTAATTCTCTGTCAGATGGTAACCCAATGGCTACATAGGATGAATGGGTATGCAATCATTTTCACCCAGTTGAATTTACCAACATTTTTAAACACTGATACTGTGGTAAAAACCCTTCTAGCATTAGGGGCGTTTTGAAAACACTTTGCATGAAGCCAATGAAGCTTCCACTGCAGCAACTTGCCTGTGCAATGCCTGAGAAAACATGCAGCCTACRTAACTACACCAAAAGCATGGGCATCTACAGTTTCAGGAGAAGAAAGACAACTTGGGCAACAGGCACAGCACTTCACTGATGCTGCTATTCATTAATACCACTATTCCATTTCTTGGATTCTGTTCAGTGTTGAACATGGCCACACTACAGTATAGCTTTTCTCAGCCACATCATGGTCCTTGAGAATCTATTCCTAAGCTATCATTGAGGAATACAGCTCAACATATGTTTGAATGTCTCGTTATAGATCACCACATCCACAGTGTCTTCCAAAATTCAAGAGTGTTCTTGAATCAAGGCTTTATATTTAATTTTTATACATTCCCATATACAAAATTAGAGATCAATGATATAATTGTGTACATTATAAAATACCCATCTAAGAGTAGTTCAATAACTAGAGTAGATTTGGAAAAGTTAATTATTTCATTACATTTTAAAAGTATCTAGGGCACAGATTTGGATTTCAGTGTTTCTACGGCTCATTTCCGAAGTGGGTCCTTTCAATAAGTTCTCTTTGATTTTTGTGGTTTTCCTGGRTAATACAGGACATTAATACAGTATCTCAGAGAAGTGCATATTCCTAGTGAAGCATGAATAAATTATCTTCCTCAAGTGCAGTTTTGTACCAAGTCAGCAATTAAAAACACTGTTTACATGATTTACACGGCTGGTGCATTACTGRACAATCTAGCCAAAAAGCACAAATATTCCCCACACTTACTTGTCAGGCAAAGATTAAAAAAGAAAAGACTTGCCATCAAAGAACAGGTGGCAAAGAGGACAAAACATAACACACGGGTAATTAAGTATTTCTTTTCCTGCCCTTTAAATTCAAAATAAAGAAACAAAAAAACCCTCCAAACCATTGATGGCTTTAGCAGTGAAGAAGTGGTATCTATAGATCAGCACAATTAGTCGATAACTCAAATCTTAATACAACTGAACTCCTTTACAAGCATGGGAACACATTTCCACTCAATTCGCAAAGTTTATTATTTTGAATGAGAATTAGTAGGACAAAAACTAATCTACAGAAATGGGTTTATTCCAATCACATGAGATGCAGCCTGAAACCTCTTAAAATGGTTGATACTACAACTTGGTTTCCCRTATTGAAACTCGTCCATGCAGCACTGTTAGAAGGGATGACTCATTCCAGGCACATTAGGAGAGAAGTGAGAAAACATAAAACAAAAATATAGTCAAGAATACTTTAAGATAGAAAGCAATAAACTGAATTGCTGCTAGAAACACATAATGCTAGATAGTTATGTCAGRTTATATTTTCCCAATACCCAAGAAACGTAAACAGTATGTTGCCACTATATCATCTAGCTTGTGAATTCGTAACTGTACCTTCTGGTTAAGAATTTAMATTCTCCTTTCTTGTGTGCTCCAAGAAAAAAACTTAGTCCAATTTTACTTTCTCCCATTTACACTTTTCATTAGGATTCTGAGACCATTTGCTGCTTTAGAAAATACACATTTGGATGTTTTTTAAAGGTATACTGAAACCAAAAGCAGTGGCACCAGATTCCTAAGCAGAACCGCAGTCAAAGATCACAAAGATCAGGAATTGCTTTTCTAAAAAAAAAAAAAAAAAAAAAAAAAAAAAAAAAAAAAAAAAAAAAAAAAACCCACAATTTATTTCTGTTGGGTTTCAAGGTTCAGCACACATAACAGGACTCCGGAATTCTGGCTGGTGTTTACACAAAAAAGTGTTCCATATAGGAAGAACTGAAATGCTTTCTTTTCTATTCCAATAATCACGCTAGAGAGCGCAGTTAAAACATTCCTTGACACAGCTAAATCCTGGCTTTCTTGTGAAGCATAAACATGCCCATGTTTAACCTAGCACTAGAATCAGATGGTTGGGTGTGTGCTGTGAAATACTCTGGCCTGCTTCAAGCGCCCTACCAAAGCACAACGCACTTCTGTCCCTGCCGGGTCACTGCTAAATCTGAGCAAACAACTCCTCTTTCCACAGCTCACTGCGCAATGCAGAAGCAATGCTCTAATACTATGCACTGAATAGTGTCTTCCTTTCATTTCCATCCAGCTATTACCTACATCTCCTTTCTCTCCCCTCAATGTGTCTAAAGAATTCATGTCTAAAGAAAATACCTTTTCTTTTCATTCTTGTTTCAATTGCTCCTGCAAATCTGGAAGACTTAACATGAAAAATGTTTGTATGCTACAAATTTCACTTGSCCCAATTTAAACATTAGAGCTTTTCTTTCTGATTCTGGACTTAAAAAGAATAAATAGTAAGAAATATCAAAGCACTGTAGCTGTTGGGTAGAATTGTCTATACAGACACACTAGTTATGAACTGATGACAGAATAGCCTATGTTAACTTATTATCATGATAGAAAACACTATGATCACCTTTACTAGAGCAACAGATTGTTTTTTCTCCTTCAATGCAGATGTAACACAATAAAGTGCAACTTCTGCACTTCCATAGCTTAGTCCTGTTGAGAGTAAAGACAAGCCTGCGCACATACTGTAAAGCATTTGTGCAAACAAATTGAGTTGCCAAATATGCAGCTACTTAACTGGTCTCAAAAGAATTGGAAGAAACGAACTTAACATTGATCTACTTGATCTTGGAAAACAAGTTTTACCTTGTGCATTTTGTTGAAATATTTTGTTCAGATCCAAAGATGAAGCTCTGGAATGGGATTTCTGTGGCCTTGGAGGTGGAGTAGGAGGCTCTTCTCCCTTTTTCATGGCATCTTCTATCGATGTGCTGGAATAAGACCTAAGCAGGAACAGGAACAAACAAACAAAAATCTTCTTATTTCAGAAATTAATTTTAGATAAATATACTGAATAGTTTCCAAAAATATAATGAGCAGAACTCAAGTATTTGGTAGAAATTCCTTGTCCCATTGACTAAAAGCTCCCCTTTGTAACAAGGCAGACCTATTTGGCAACAAATGGAGGAACTATGTCCTCAAGGAAATGAAAGGGTTATACTTTCYGAAGCTGA